AGAAAATGTATTAAATAGTTAATAATTAACTTTTGGTAAGCTTTTAGTAGGCACATTTATTGAAGTTGCTGACAGCTGCAAACATTCAGCGTGTGCAACAATTTTCAGCTCTTGGATAAAAATGGAATGGCCTATGTATCGTTTATTTATTCATACTATGTGTAAATGCCATAACTATTAATACGTTTAGGCCGCTTTCTCTGGTAGTGGTAACATGATGGCTGATTTATGTTTTAATACTATGTATTCTATTTCAATTCTTAAAAAGTCTAGCAGCCGATTTAATTGTACAGCAATATTTTGTACAGCTAAGTGGTAGGTCTAAATTGTTTATTGATAAAATGAAATAAGTAATATTGAATAACCGTTGCTGTATTAACCTCTTCTCTCTAGTTGTAAACATCATGCTTGTGGGAATTATTTTCCTAATAGACTTGTGGAAACTGCAAAATTAAAATGTTTTAATATATTTTAACATAAGTGATATACACATAATTACAATTTTTAGAGAACTCCACAACTGCAGTACATGATATACTTTGTTAAACAACTTTGTAATCATGATTTTTTTGTTTCTAGAAATCTAAAGTTCTGAGAAATAACAACAACAATATAGTTTTTTTTTTTTTTTTTTTTTTTAAAGAGGGCCAGCAGTTTCAGCTTACAAGTAACCATGGGATTGCAGCGCAGCTGGAACAGCTGATTGTGCACCAATATAGTCATCATTGATTTTGGATATTACAAGCAGTCTTCACATCCTATTGAACAAATTTATAACCTTTTTTTACGTATGTTTCTTGCATGGTTACGTTGGAATGCACCGAGTACTACTAGTAGTAGGCAAAATGTTTATTCTTATAAATAAATAGATTAACTCATTTTGCAACTGAAATTACCTTTCCTCGATTAAGTGTTTACTAAACACAGGCATCAATTAAACCAAAGAGAATGTTATAAAACTTTTTTTTTTTGTAAATTTACTTTAATTTCTAGCATCAACTGAAAATGTTGTGCTATTTTTGAGTTTGTTTAGCCAATGTGTTTGTAACTATAATGTTTTGTTTCAATAATCAGTGATAAGTGGGTAAATGTACAAGCAATAAACTACCGCACGGTTAAAGTGACACTTGATTTATGGGGTGAACCTACAACTGATTTGGGCAGGTTTGTCTTGACCAGTTTTGGGGGGTAATTTGCGTCATAAGCCTTAGGGGAGATGGACACCTCTGAACATGAAGATTAACACGTTCAGTGCTGACTACATCAATTGATGCAGTTGCGCAACCCCCACTACATTAGCTCAGTATGAGCTCAGCCATTGCCGGGGAACGTTAAAATTGTTGCTAGCCTGTAGCTTAGAATGTGAGCTTTATTTTGGTATAGATTGGTACTTAAATTTTTCCGGAAAATCTCGTCTGACAATGCTTTTGTCCCGGTTTCGGGGATTTTCTCTCTTCAAGCTATATTACAAAGCCACTGACTACTGATCCAGGCAGTGCTGCTACCTTTGGTTGTTTTAGGGAACTACTTCCAATCTCGGGGTAACGTTGTACAGTCACCGCTGCTCTTTTGTTATTCGTCAGATTGAAATATTTGAATGCCAATTGCGTTCGCTGTTACGGTGCCACGCCGGGGCTTTGCCCAGGCCTCGCCGCCATTGGCGAGCGCCTGTTAAAATGCCTGGTGCACTGAACGTGTTAACTGCAAGAATAGCATACGATTTCACTTCACTAAACAAACTGCAGTCACTGGTGAAGAGCGGGCTTCTTGTGACGCCGACTAATGACGGTCATTCGCCTATTGGGTCTGATGATGATTGGATTGTCCAATCGAAATCGATCACCACTTACCATCTTTTTTGTATATTTACCGTCTTGTGAGTAACAGTATAAGCGTAAATATGTGTTTTAAGTGTCATAAGACGTTTCTTTAATTTACTTTCCGTAAATTTAATAACACGTACAATGCTGATCAAGAAGTTATTTTATTTTTGTATTTTTATATATATATTTGCTATCCTCAAATAGCCATGTTGCACTTCGGGACCGTTAGCGATCTGATCTGTTTAAAACACCCTTTGGCAATATTTTCCATATTATTAAAACCGTTATTGTTTATATTTTATGCATTTATATGGTAACTTATATTATAAGTCATATATGAAACATTTATTTTTATTTTTATAAAATGAAAAATAGTTTAACATTGGTGAGACAAAATTTTTCCCACAATTTAAGATTCACCCATATGATGCATTAATTACAATTGAAAATACCCCCGCCGCAGCAAACCTGCAGACTAAGCGAATTTCCATTAGCCTGATTGGATTTACACTAAAATGCCTCCTTAAAAATATCACATTTATTCCCTACTTAAAAATAATTAGTTTAACGAGTAATTAATTAGGTAGTTTATTAACTAGGTTTGCTGCAACAGGGAGGGTAAAAGTGTTTTTTTTTTTGTAAAATGTTAATAGTTTAGTAAGAAATGAATGTATTTTCCAAATTCGACCAAAATAGGTTCATAAACAAGCAAACTACATCAGTTTATTTATTCTCCATAAGATTAACATAGGAATTTTAAATTTACAATTTTGGGGAATTTCCTCCGTAACCATTAGGCGCACAATAACACTTCAATATATTAAATTATTTTTTTTTTAAGCTCTACAAAATAGTTTGGAAAGAAATTGTGAAATTTAGTGTTTTTAGGGTAAAAAATAGGATAAAATATTTTTACCCCATAAAACCCCTTTCCCATAGTCCAATCATGCTGGTTCGCGAACTTGTTCGAATAAATGTAGGTTTACACGTTTATAGGTACCAAATTTAATCAAAATCAGATCATTTTTGCTCGAGATGAATTTTAACGGATGGTGTTTTTGGCCTCTAGGGACATCAAAACGAAAAAGTAAATCGGTCCCGGGTCCAGGTCTTACCATCGGTAATAGCTTATTCCCTATATGGGAAATTAGCTAAAAGAAAAAGGCTACATAACCTAACAAGTGTGATTTAGACATTTTTTTCTATTGGAAAGTACGAGGGCTAATCAGAAAGTAAGGGAACTTTCAAGATCAAGACAAAATTTCTACAATGAAATCACTATGTCATAGATTTCTGCCGCCTGCAAGCTTAGCCACCCAGTGACACAAAATGGAGCTCCTCACTATCATCAAAGCGTCTTGCTGCTAACCAAGTCTTAAATTTTGGAAACAAATGAATGTAACTCTGAGCAAGATCTGGACCATATAGTGGTTTTTGGAAAAATCTTCAATTTGAATGAATGAATGAAGATCTTGAGTGCAATTTGCCATTTAAGGTCAGGCGCGGTCATGCAAAATTAAAATTTTTGACTTCAACTCTGGTTCAGCAATTTTGAAACTGAATACACCATTTAAGGACAAAAAATGTAACTTACTGGCTTCAAGAATACAGGCAATAAAAACCGTATCACAGACCACACCTTAAAACTAACAGGATTTTCCATTACAGCAGACTTTTTAACTTTAATTATGCAGACGGGCAGGAAAACAACACTTTTTTTGAGATAGCTGTACAGTCATTGAGGAGGCCAACTTAGAAAGTTTTGTACTAGAATGCAAGTACCAAAAAGTGTGCGATCGGCGTGCTCCTATCGGCTTCAGATGGAAATGTCCTTACTTTTTGAATAGCCCTCGTAGCTACCAAGGATCTAGGTAATGATAAGAATGAGATCAGGACCTCTTCAATTTCTTTTACAGACCCCAGACTGCATGGTTTGTTTAAATTACCATGAATACATTATAGAACAAATAGTTATGATTTGGAATAGCCTTATAATATAAGGTAGAATTTGAAAAAAATAGTTATGTTTCAATTGTTTTTTTACTGAACGGAACTACTAGTTTTGAACCTTTTAGATCAAAGAATATATTTTTTAATAAGCTCATTGCAACATGAAATTATCTAAATGACAGTAAGCTAGTTTTTGTTCAAAAGATTAGCCTACTATTTTAAACGGGTACTAAGTAAAAAAAGATAAATATATACATAGGCATGATAACTTGAATATTTTGGCATTACAACTCAAAATATTTTAAAACATTTAATTTAAATTTAAAGAACAATCATTTAGTGTAGGACATTAATAACCTTTAACCTACACTAATTGTTCAGCAAGAATATCTACACCGCTGTGCATAATACAGTTTATCCCGTGTTATTCTCATAGAGAAAAATGTTATTTTATAAGTATTCCATTTAGATATCTTCCAATAGACCTCTCCCAACGGATGTTAAGGTGTAATTGTTTAGGATATAAACCCAGTTTTAGCCTTCAGGCTACTGTGAAAAAGATAATAAAAGTAATTAATATTCTGTGGTATATTAGGACGATTTTGATGAAAGTGTGATGTTTGAAATTTTAAAATTCTATCCAACGTGCTTTTAGTTTTAAACTACACTAGTTAAAATATATTTTCTTAACTCATGCTAATCCTGAGGGATAATCTATTAGAACATAGCAAAATTAATAAGTAAGAGGTTCAAAATAAAAACAAATTTTAATGTTTAAAGTAAAGAGCAATATACAGGCAAAGTTAGCATACAAAACCATTCTGTAGATCATAGGGATTTAATCATTCAAACATATTTTACAAGGAGCAGATTTATTAAAACAATGACAGAAAACAAATATTTTTATCTATTTTGTTAAATGATATCGATATGTTAGCAAAGTATGAACAGAATACAGTATTCAATGCTAAATTACAATCCTCCAATAGAAAAAAAATAGAAAAAAAACTGTACAAGCAAAAAATTAAACGAAATACATATAAATTGAAATGAAATTTTAAAAGAATCAACAAATGAAGAATGTAAAAATCTAATAAGTACTAAAAATTACTTTGTTTGAATGAGCTTTGGTAAAATACTTTTAAGCTGTGCAAATGCAAACTTTGCGTGAACAAAAGGTGGACGACAAAGCAACAACAATCAAGCAACATTTACAAACAAGATTACCTTGCTGTTGACGTCAAACACCTAAAAACATAAAACCCAAAGTTAAAACAAACTACTGCCATACTGATCTTTCCTGACAAGGAAATTGAATGAAATTCTTACTATGGGCAGGTAGTTTTAATTGCTAATAGAAATATATAGAATTTACATTTAAAAAATAAAGGTGTAGCGGGTTCTATGAAAGAAAAGTGCCTTGAAAATCTATAAAATTAATAAATCTTTTGCCAAATGCTAGATGAGGTCAGTTGAATGTTTTTGACTGCAAGAAACATATTGGCCGCAGACATTCATTGCTAGATGACTGATATTTATGGCCCTAATGGCAATGAGAGGGTAAATTGCAGAAATGGGTTAAGGAGTTTGAGAAAATAACCATTAAGGAAGGAATTGTGGGTGCCAAGACTTCACACGGAAGACCACAAAAGGAAAAAAGGTTTTAACAGCCATTTTTACACTCCCCCCATTTCCGCACTTTACCCTCATTAAAGGTTGATGTTTTGTTTGTACGGTAACCAGCTGGTCTGCATTACTATGGCTCTATTTTCCCGCACTCTACAGAAGCGCTGTGACATAGGCATATTATGCTTCCTGCGCTTAAAACGTTAATTATTTTTAAGTGAATATCTGTCAAAGCATAAGTATTTTTAACTTACCACATAATGTTCTTTTAGAAATAAAATAATTGTATAATAAGGTATGTAATGCAGCTATTTTTTTATTTTGATTTACAACCTGTTAATATATCTGCAAAAACGGGTTGCAGATGTATTCGCACCATTGGGTTTTTGTAACAAAAATTATTTATGCACTAACTAGAAGTAATTTGTTATGTTTATTTAACCCTCTTGATGCTAAGGCGATAATGTAAATATCAGCCTCAGTTTTGCAACTCTGCGTGTTTCATGTAGAACGTAAAATATTTGGTGCGTATTAGTTTTATTCTTTTAGTTCTTTCATTATATTAGTTTTATTCTTTATTGAGCTTTTTTAGCTACACTGAGTAATGTTAACATAAACATTAAAACAGTACGGGTAATGTTTGCGATTCTCAAACATAACTCTAAAATTATGTCAATCTTAAGTTATGTTACATAACCTCAACCAAGAAAATGTTATACATTGTGTTTCTTTAGTCAAATGTGTTGAAATGTGTTGTGTATTTATTTAACTATGTCTGGTATTTATTTTTACTCAGTAGGTTCCCAAATTAATATTTTTGAAACATCACAGTTTATTTGACAAATATAAAATGGAAGCAAAACAAAGAAATATCAATCAATAATTTAAATGTAAAGCTGTCTGCTTGTACTGACAATCGTCTGCTACTACACATCTGTCTGCTGTGCGCTATATCACAACAGTTTGCGATAGGGTGATTAGTAACCATGACAACTTTCGTAGCCTGTGATTGGATGCCTAGTAACTATGGCAACTTGTTGAATGTGGGAATGAAAAGAAACCCAGGAATGAATAAAATAACAGAAAGAATAGAGGAACAAAGAGAAAGAATAAGTGATAATTGTATGTCATTGTTGTCTTTATCTTCTTTTATGACTGTTGTTATTATCGTTAAGTACCAACTATGATTTTAATTTTATACTTTTTTCTGAATTTTCTAAAGTTTTTATTGGCATTCTTCTGTCTAAAACAGCATGTCCCCTGGTAGTAGCCTATGAATAGTACATTACTACATACATTACATATGACTATTAGCGTACTCAACTTTTAATTGGTCTGTTCTCTACGTGATTTACGTTCTTCCTATGGGGTTGGCGTATAAGTATAAAATGCTTATTGCAGTTATACTCTAGCTTTGCGTTTGCAATGGGGGGGGGGATATAGCTTGAGAGAATTTGGTTCTTTATATTTACGGTATGCTATAGTATTATAGATATAGTATAGTATATCGTATAGTATTACACATCAACCATAGCCATTATGTTCTACCACTGCACCTAAACAATATAAAAAAGTAAATTATCAAACATTCACACAATATCACAAATTATGTATTAAATTTAAAACATAAACATTACTGTAAACAATCCTACTGTGACAGTTCTCATTGTGTATCACACATTTTTGAGACTGCTTACTTCAAATTAGCTGTTATCATAATTGCAAAAAACATAATAGTGGTGTAAACAGAGCACCAGCGTTCAGCACGTTTCAGGGCGTTCAGTGTTGGTAAACCTTATATCTTTTTAATGCTATTGAATATCATAGAACCAACTTGTTTGGTCGAATCAGCTGACGAAATTATTGGATTCCTTTTAAATGTGAATACCCATAAGGTTAACATGGGAAACTCCAGAGCCATTGGGGGAAACTCCAGCCGAATCCGACCAGTATTTTTCACGTTTACTTGTCACAAACATCCATACATACATCCACATTTTCTTATTTATATAATATTAGTAGAATAGTGTTTGGAAATTTTTTGTTTGAGTAAGCTGTGATTTTTTACAGTGTTTATTACTGAACCAAGGTTAATGACTTAACATATCATGATTGAGCAATACTAACTGTATTTTGATTATATAAAATGCAAATTAATTATCAAATTAATGTTCATTTATACAGTATTAGGCGTTTTTATGGGTTTGGTTTGTCATATGTGTTTATGTCATGTTGGATTAACTGTGGTTTTCTGTTATACGTGGCCTCCCTCCTCCCCATTATCCCAGATAATCGAGGTTCTATTTATTATTTTCAACGCCCTTTTTTCAACGCCCTACTTCAACGAGGGGACATATCTAGATCAGCTGATTACCACTAGCACTGACTTGAACATTCAGACAGTCGGTTTCTGCTAGCTTACAGGTGATGTGGTATTTTTGTGATAGGCCTATCTTTAATCAAATATCTAATATGTTGTATGTGTCGTGTTGAGTGTATGTGTTTAATGAAACCATCAAAAAGCTAACCAAGCGGATGTGTATTTCCTGGCAGGGGCGCACCCAAACTTTCGGTTTGGGGGGGGGGGGGTGGCTTCCCAAGTATAAACTGTGTCCATTATATGACCTGTAATGAACAGTGCTAATGGATACGTAGTATTTATAGCATTACTATATTGAACTGCAGGACTGGATATTACATTGCCATCAGATAATTTATGTAGTAAACTAAAACCAACTATCTGATTAATTTACAAGTGATTTTGATTTTGAGTTTTATACAAAAACAATATTGATATTTAAATAGGGATGGGCCGATTCCGATTCTCGATACCAGTGGTATTGAAGAATCGCTAATACTCGATACTTCGCTTCATTGTGCTCGATACCGATTCTGAAAAGTGAGGTTAATTATGATGCTAGACTCAACTGACATTGAAGGTTGTAAAGAGTGGCACATCATAGTTTATTTGGAATACTCTGAAGTCAGCTAATATAAATAATTCCAAGTTCGTTTTCTCATATTCCTAATAGTTTTATAATCCAAAATAACATGCCTTGGCATTTCACAATGAGTGCCATTGCGGCACAAATGACGTGTAGTTGTGATCAACTGACTGACAACAGTGGAACAGTAACAACTAGTAGAACAGTAGAACAGAACTCTAGTTACCGCCATGTTGTCAGATCGAGGGCAATTTTTCCAGATGGTACAAGCATTGAATTTAAATATAATACACATGTACAGTCAATGGTACTAGTAAACTTGTGTTTTCTAACTCGTGATAGGGTTCATGTATATTTCATTAGCAGCTTAAGAGTTTGATAACATGCTGATCATAGTGTATAATATCATTGACTATAAATACACTACGTGAGAATATAATCAGTGGTTGATCCTTAACCCTTTAAGTATCGCAATAGTCAAAGGTATCGCCCATCCCATATTGGGCAGGTTTTCTGATGCGTACGAGTGTCCCCCAACCAAAATTGGGCGAGTTTGTAGGCGCTAAATTTTGTTTGTTATTTTTATATATGCGCGATCAATGCCCCAGCTTACTTGTACTAACTGTTCAGCTCATTCAGAGCTTCATGATGACTATTGGAGACGGCCGTTTAGCGATGAATTTTTGTCGTTATATATTGTTTCTCTCTGACTGAACTGAAACAGCTGTTGTGAGCAAATGGCAAATTAATTATTGTTTAACCTATGTTTTGGTTTTGTTTTGTTGTTTGTTTGCTGTGCGTGCGTAGTGAGTTAAGTTCAAAATGGATTATGATCACCGATCTAGTGATGTGACGAACTCCATGACTTTTATGTGATTCTTTAAGTAATTTAAGTGATATTTATAATGACTTTGATATTGATGACTTTGAGTTTAAAACTCAAGTAATATGGAACATTCATTGTAGGCCTAGATGTACGAATTCTTGTGCAAACAAAAAACTCAGTGAACATTTTAGGCCTACCTAAACTGGTGATTGTTGTCTCAATTTAATTTAATAAAATATGTTAAATTAAAATGCATGTCTTCTTGAAGTAGCCTATCTTATTTTTCTTATAGGCCAACCAAATCTATGTAACCATAATCAATAACAATGCAGTTATCTTATTGTATAACGATTAAATAAAAATAACATGCTCCTTTATTTATAGGGATAGCGATAAGCACACATAAGTTATATGTGTTACTAAATTAATTTTTGAATTTTTAACAGGTATTGGTATCGAGTGCGGAATTGAGAATCAAAACCAAAATTGTAGAATCGGAATCGGTATCGGAATCGACCAATTCAGCAATCGGCCCATCACTATATTTAAGGAATAAATAATACAATTACAAATAGCAAACAAACTACAGATTTACAAAACATAATCCAGACGTCTAGACGATTGTTTTAAACACAGAAACTTCCTAGCGACTTCAATTTTCTGTGAATATTTAAAGCTGCGAGTTCACTCAGTCCATTTACATCCATACACTATACTCACAACAATACGACTGTGTACTACCATTTTAAGTGTCAAGGTCAAGTGAGCATTGGAGCAACGGTAGTGGAAACGGCACATGGGCACTTTGAGGCAGGGCGGAGGGCAAACATGCAGCCCCAAAATGCCAACCGACTACAGGCACTACAGGCTGCATTAGGCTTTGGTTTACGCAGTGTCTGTCTGCAAAGGCCTAAAAATACTAGTTACAAAACGCCTGCTCCTTGCTGTATTTAATGAAGTTCTGTTGTAACTAACTGTATAGGTTTAAAGTTTACATATTTTTTAAATAGTCAAAAATGTACATATAGAGCTGACCCTCGACCCCCGTAAAGAGCTAACTCTAGGTCCTTGGGGGGGGGGCTAAGCCCCCCTGGGTGCGAAACTGTTTCCTGGACTGGAGACGTGTTTAAAAATGGCACTCATAGATAGTTTTTAATAGATGTCTATAGTCTCAAATCTTCCATCTTCTTATATATGCTGACCACTTGTTGTCGTCATGAGTATTAAGTTCACACACAGACAGTACAAACACACAAAACAGTAATTCACACGGAAGATTTACACTTGTTTGCCCGGCCCAATAATCATAAGCTCCAGAATTATTAAGATATAGTCAGCTATTAAAAACTAAAGGTTTGACGATGGTAACATGTAACTAACCTATTAATTACGTGTCGATTTTTAATCTAGGAGACAAAACTAAATAATTAATAACGAAAAAATAATCTTTTCCATGGCAAATCTATTACGGTGCTATTTATTTCTCCATAGTAAACAATAAAAATAACTAGGCTTATGATTGAAATATACCCAGAGTAAACATCTAAATATCAGACGATTGAGCAGACGGGTGTCGAGAAAAGCAAATACTCTTTGACAGTAACAAACACTTTTAAACATTTAATATAATTAGCTTGCGTTGTTATCATAACATTAAAAGTGAAACCTATTAACATCAAATTACAACAGTCACTGATGCAAGAGAAACATATGAAAAATGGGTTTCTCCAATTCCAGCCTCGAAACCAAAACAATTGACAATCATGCTCATGGCTTTACTCACCTGAAAGTATGATTCCTTCTCCAATCGGTCCATTAACAGTTCAAAAGTATCAATTGAAACTTCAGGAACTCCCTGCACTGCTCTCTTTTGGTTGATAATGGTTAACCATGCAGCATCTTCTTCATCCATGTCATACTCTACTTCTCCATCCATCTCTTCAGCAGAACGCTCTATGAATCTGTTGAACACAAACAAATGGTCAAGCTCAGCAGTCAACAAATAAAAATTTTCGTGGGGCGTATCACTACAAACTTGAGTAACTAAGTAAATTAATTTCAATACCCCTACCGCAGCAAACCTTAAGACTGAGCGAATTTCCATTTACCTGGCTAGATGTCCACTAAAATATTCCCTTAAAATTTTGTGATTTATTTCATTTTTTAATAAAATTAATTTTAATGAACACTTAGGTTTGCTGCTACAGGGAAAGTAATGAGGTGTGTTATTTAATTGAAATGTTGGATAGCTTAGTGTGAAATTTTGTCTACCAATTTTCCAAATTGTATTAAAATATATCAATTAGCAAGCAAACACACACTGTAGCCTATAACACTTTATTTATTAAATATTTTCTTTATCAACATCGTTCAGTTTATTTCTTCCCCATTAGAATAACATGGGAATATTCAATTTGCACGTTTCTTTAATTTTCTCTGTAACCATTAGGCATACAACAATGCTTCAAAATTTTACTAAATTATTTCTTTTTATAAGCTCTACAAAATGGTTTAGAAAGAAATTGCAAAACTATGTTTTTAGGGTCAAATATGGAAAAAAACAATTTTTCCCCATAAAACCACCAATACACCTCTTCCCATGGTCTGATCCTGCTGATTCGCAAACTCGTTTGAATAAACGTAGGTTTACACGTTTGTATCAAAATTCATTAAAATCAGATCATTTTTGCTCCAGTTATTGTGCTAACGGACACATATATTTATATGAATTTAAATGGATGGTGTTTTTGGCCTATGGGGACCTCAAAAAAAAGGTAAATCGGTCCCGGGTCCAGGTCTTACCATGAGATCTATGGTAATAGCTTATTCTCTATATGGGTAATTCACTAAAATAGGAGACCCGTGTGCAAATTTCTCATTTTAATAGATTCCAAAACTTGTTTCAAAGGGAAAACAAACCATGCAATAGCCTTTTACTTTTCAAATATTATTTTTCCCTAAGACAATTATTAGGTGAATACAACTACTAATTTACAGTATTGCAATTTAATTTTACACCTTCAAGAGTGTTTTACCGACATCAATCAGGTCACAGTTATAAAAAATTAGCCTATTGAAAACCCGTTTTCATAAACTGGTTTGTCTCTGGTTTACAATCTGGTTGTGGTTAAATATTAAACTGAGCGATCATCCGTTAAATTAAAATTCACATTTAAACCGTAATAATGAACTCTATAAATAAATCATACGCTAGGGAGGCAAAGCCCCAAAGAAAATTACCTTTTTAGTTATCATTCATCACTTCGCTAGATCATTAGCTTTTAAATGACACCTCAATCGTAAGCATCGGTTAAGTAGGATAGCTGAAAAAGGGATGTAACAGTGAAAAACCTTATTGTATTAAGTAGGCTTATATTGATGAAAAAATTATCAATATAAAATACACACCTGACGTATGAATTGGGCATTTGTGCAGCGTCTGCAATTTTGTAATTGTCTAGGACTTTGAAGCATGGTTCTGGAAGTTTGGTAACTGCTTCTTGGCTCTTGGCTAAGCTAAGCACACTTTGGGAGATTTCTGTTATAGCCATCTGTAACAACATAGCCTATATACATGTCTGGATGAGTAAAGAGAATCTAATCTATATGTACGTAATAAAAAACTTGAGATATAGTAGACCCAATTAACCATGAATGCAAAAAATCAAAATCAAAATATTAAAAATTTAATATGTTAAATGTACGTTGTGCAGCTATAACCAAGATGTTTAGTAAGAGATGTGTAGGGTGTGTTGCTAGCCTAGTGGTGCAGACTTGGGTGCGAAAGGGATGGGTTCAATCCCTGACACATCCCTGACTATACGTCATAGGCTCTCCAATACTATTTGTTTTCTAAGTAAACGAGTGTGAAACAAGTTTCAAAGGTAACTACACTGGATTAAAAACTGTATAAAAGCTTAACTATCCATTCAAAGTCAATGTTAGTTATTTCCCAGGCATTTTATGTTAGGTTTGCATGATCTAGGATTTTGACTATCATCCACAATCACTCTTTATCGTGGATAATATTGGGAGTCTACTGTAATGCAGTAGGGGTCCAGTATAAAAATTGCTACTTCAGATTGGACAAAAAAGTTTATGTGAGTTAATTGAAGGGTCTTTGTTTAGTCCCAAAGCTGTAACTGTAATACATAATACCCCCGCTGCAGCAAACCTGCCGACTAAGGGAATTTCCATTTGCCTGAATTGATTTTCAATTAATCTATTAAATTAACATTTATGTTTAACGAGTACCTAGGCTTGCTGCTGCAGGGTAACTAATAGTGTGTTTTTTATTAAAATATCAATAGCTTAGTATAGAATAAATAAATATGCCAAGTTTGATCAAAATATATCCATAAACAAGCCAACTACAACATTTTACAATAGTCTCCATTAGAATAACATGGAAATTTTAAATCGTTTATCGTTTGATAGGGAATTACAAATGCTAAATAAAACTGTTCTGGAAATTATTTTAATAAAATTAGATATATTTTAGTAATTTAAGTTTTAAGATTTTAAATGGCTGTCATTTTGTTAATTTAAAAGGAAATTACATAATCACTTTTTTTAATTGCCTCTCGGCACAATTAATGTATTTTTTAAGTTTGGGTTCCTTAGCTTTAATAATTTTTTAGATATAGCCTAAATTGTTTTAGAAAAAATACAAAATGGCGGCTAGCGGCTAAAGAACATTTTTTTCAACCTATGTGTATACGAGCTGTTTCGTTTGGGTTGATTAGTACTATCAGCCCCTAAAGTTTGTGACACCCCTTAATAAACACCCTGTATAAATATTATATGGTTTTTCCCCCTACATGCAATGTGTTCACATCTATCAAATATGCGATTCATTTAGTTTATGAATAACGCCTTTAGATTAACTTTTAACACTTATAGTTTCAGGCAGGTTACGGCCTTCTGTTTCAATAAAAACAACAAAAGTCTTTCTTCAATTCAAAGTCATCCAATACTTACTTTGTTAACATATTCATTATTTTTGAAAATATGTTTAGCAGCAAAAATACACGGCTCAGGTCAACATAACTACCGGTACTGCTAATGATCTAACCTACAACATTACTAATCCCCAACCTTACATATCATTCACACCACTTACAAGACTCAAATCAAAACCACACATTCTTTTTGGACCACCCTTTAGTAATTTTTAATTCATTGATTTTGGCCAGCATGGATTGTGGATCAATCAAGGTAGCCTAATTACTGAAAATATACATAAGTTATGAATAATACTTAAACTTGACTCATAAAAGTCATCTCATGAAACCCTATTATTAACTTGACCATTTAGTGTTAAAATTATTCAGTTTAATCATTATTTTATAATGGAACAATGTTAGAAAAAGCTATTTGATTTAGCTTGTTTACTCCAATGTAAAACTCCACACAAGTTCAAGTCTCAGTATGTGTACATAGTGTAAATATTATAGGCCTAATAGTAATGTGTTTGACTTGAAGACAGTGAACCTGATACAGGATAGGCCTATGTGATTTGTTGTGAATATATTATTACTTAGCCTTCTATTTTTTTTTTTAACTTTGAATGTGAGTTTATGAATTGGTGGCCTTATTAAGGTGAAACTCTTCTACAGTTTGACAATATCTTCGTCCGGCGTTCAGTAAATTTGACAAATAGGCTAAAAAACATTTATTTTTATTTTTACATAAATCAAACATTATACAAAAGTAGTATAATATGAGTATCAGATTATGAGAGTAGATGGACAGTAAAATCTCGAGGCACTGAGGAATCAGAAGATAGATCATCCAAGGTCTAAAATGTAAGGTTAAAATTTACATTTGAAAACTACTTTCTGAAAAAAAAGGATCTTTGTAAAAATTGGTCTGTTGGGGGTTTTACATCTATACCAGTTAGGTAAGCTGGTTTTGTTTGTTTCATCATGTAATTCTGCATTTTTACTAAGATAGATCCAACCCATAACCACAAAGGACCTGGTTCCAGAGATGTCTGAATACCAGAAGTCTACTTAATTATATTCCCTACACTAGCCAGAGTGCAGATATCTTTAGCCTACTTGTAGTAGGCATTTTAACCAAAATATTGAGTACGATACCAGTAGTTAAAATTACTAAAGTACTTACGCTGTCACAATGATTCTCTAATTCCTTCTTGGAGATAATGCTGATTGTATCACTAATGTTTATACGGTGTACTCTTCCGTTCACTTCAAATTCAACCAGTTTCTGAGCCTCCGCATAAGTCAGACCTTCTCTTGGTGGAGTCAATATAGGTTCAACCACCTTTAGCGGAGTCTTCAACTTAGGTGTGTGGCTCCATCTTCCATGATGACTCTTCTTCCCTGAAAAACAGTTTGAAGTGGAAGGTAAAACATTTCAAATTAATTTTTGTCCTTATCAATCCAAATATTATACTCATGAAAACAAATTAGGCGAGTGATATTCGACATTCGTATGTATGTGTCCACCAACCGCTGCTTTTGGCAGTCGAATGTGTACGTACAAACCAAAGGTTTAACAATTCAATTGTGTTGCTTTTTTGACGGCTGGCTCTCTAGGTCCTGGTATTGCAGCATAAGTTTTGTTGGAGCGAAAGTTAAACAAACACTGCAAAAGACACTGGTCCCTGCATTCAATCAAGCAAGATAAATGATAAGCAAAATTGAACAGGTGGGTAGCACTGAGCAGCCCACAGCAGGAAACTGCAGAGTTTAAAAACTTCTTGTATTTAACCTAATGTCAGTTTGAATCACTGATTCAAATATTTGTAGCTGCACCAGTCAGACCACGCAGCTACAGTGTAACTATAAGTAACTCCTGCTCAGTATAAGTGATCCCTTTAACTCAATACACTTACAAAACTGTTAACCAAAGCATTTTGCAATCACGTGCTGAGTACTAAAGGACTCTTTTGAGTTTAGAGGGAACCTTCTTACTAATCCAACAATATTTGGACCCGGCGAGAGATAAAGAGAGATATAATATATTATAAAATATCCCTACTTACGTTTTTTGGCTGGAGGAGGAGTACACGGTGTCGCAGGCGTGGAGACAAGTGACTCGACTGATTCAGGCGGAGAAGGTGGCACAATGGCCGCAGAGTTTGTATCATGGTCAAAGTTGACCAAGTGGTACTGCAGTCCACACATGGACTTGTAAGATTTTCCACACTCCACTACAGGACATGTATAAGGGGGTTTGTTGGATGTACGCAGCTTCCGACAAAACTCCAGAACGTCAAAGTCGAGACCCATCTGAAAAATAGTTATATTTTTAGCTCTAGACCTAATAGTATTAGTCTGAAAATGCCATAGGCCTATTGTACTTGAGAAAGAACACTAACTATAGTGGCTAGGATTACAATCAATGTTAACGAAAGTAAGTTCAAGGACATTAATGATAGATTATTCTGTGGTGAATAGTAGCCTACAGTTTGCAGAGGACATGCAAAATGTTTAATTCATAAATATTGTATGGGATTTAATTTTAATTTGATGTTGATTGTATACACAGTTGCCTATCAATCAATCAATCAATAAAATCTTTATTCAGAACGTACAGATACATCGTACATGATTGCGTCATTATTTTATTTTTAAATAACATAAATATATAACTTAAAGTTAAAAGATTTATACAACAGCAGTTTTTAGATAAAATCAATACTTTACTTAAAATTAAAAAAAATCATCCAGACTGTAAAAAGAATTTCCTATTAAAATTTGTTTCAGTTTCTTTTTAAATTTAATTGTGCATTGCTCATTCCTTATGCCATCTGGGAGTTGATGGATAAATTTAATGCCAATATACTGAGGACTTTGCTTATATTTGTCTTTTTTATGATTTTTCATTGTGAAATTTTGTTTATCTAGTATTGTAATTGTGGATATCCTGTTGTCGCTCTAATTTTGATTCATTATTTTTTACATAAAGAATTGTTTTATAGATGTATAAATACGGAACTGTTAAAATGTCCAAATCTTTGAAATATTTTCTTGAAGAATTTTTCCTAGAGGTTCTTTCTAAATGTGTCTTACAGCTCCATCTGAAATAATAAAATTCTATTTAAATTTCGATTACTCATACTCCATAAATTTCAATGCCATAAGATATATGGGAGTGAATGTGGGCATAGTAAACTTTTTAAGGGTTTATTCATTGCAAAAAGGTTGAAGTCTATTAATTATAAAAATTACAGGGCTTATTTTTTTACAAACATGATCAACATATTTGGACCAGTTTAACGTTTGATCAACTATAAGACCTAAACACTTGGTGTTATTCTCAAAGTTATTAAAAATTTCATTGTTTTTTTTAATTTTTACAAGAAAATTTACCCAATGTAGTTTTGTTCTTATTTAGTAAAAGATTTTCATAATTGACGAAAGTGTTTACAATTGAAATGGCATTTTCCATTTTGGATTCTATACTATTTGTATTTTTTTCATGTATTGACATACTGATGTCGTCTGCATATGAACATAGTTTGGTATTCTGAATTTTATTAGTTAGGTGTTCCTGCGTTCCGCCCAGATAACATAAGAATAGGAACGGTCCAAGAACTGATCCTTGAGGAACCGAATATTGTACCTGCCTTAACTTATATTTTATATTGTATAAATTTTGCTCCTCAACAAATCTAACACTGACATACTGTTGCCCTTCTTCCAAATAAGACCTTAACCAGTTCAATTCTTTACCATAAATACCATAATTGTTAAGCTTATTTATTAAGGTAGGATGGTGAACCTATCAAAAGATCATAGATCTAGAAAAACCATACAATGTCAACATTGTTGACAGGGATGCCTGGGACAAGGGTGAACCTGAATACATGAAAAGGGGGATCACTTGGTATACGGATGGCTCGAAAAAGCCAACGGGCACGGGGGCTGGAATATATGGAGTCAGACCCAAGGCGCAGTTCTGCGTAAGCCTGGGAAAAATGGCCACTGTATTCCAGGCAGAAGTTGTTGTCCTGTCTGAGTGTGCGAGAGTGTGTTTGAAGCGCGGTCTTATAGGCCACACTGTATGATGAACTCACACAGCAAAGCAGCACTAATGGCACTTGACAGTTTTGACTTTACCTCCAAGGCTGTATAGGAATGTCATCAAGCCATCAAAGCCCTGGGAAAGAACAACAGGATCATCCTTGGTTGGGTTCCAGGACACAAAGGTATTGCTGGCAATGAGGGAGCTGACAAGTGGGCAAACAAAGGAGCTGAAAGCCCGCTCATGGGTCCAGAGCCAACGTGTGGCATTGCTTACAGCACAGCACGGAGAGCTGTTCGCCAGTGGATGGGCATAGAACATCGAAGGAACTGGGAAAGAACAGAAGGAAATGTACAGTCAAAGAGAATGCTGATGAAGGCAGGTGCGATAGCGGCAGATGCCCTTGGGCTGAGTAGGAAGACCCTGCGGAAGGTGGTTGGCTTTATTAGCGGCCATTGGGTATTCCGTGGACATTTACACAAGATGGGAATTCAAGTTGAAAGCCTCTTGTGTAGGAAATGTGGAGAGGAGGAGGGACAGCATTCCACGTGATATTTATGTGCCCAGCCCTACAAGGTCTGCGCATGAGATCCCTTGGCCTATCGACTGGAGATCAAAGGGAAGAACGGGTCACCATAGTCAAAGGATCTCACGGTTCACAAAGGACCTGGGATTTGACAAAGAATGAGGACCTGTGAATGAAGGTGCACAATAAGCTGTTCTAGCTAAGCGCAATCGCATGGTTACTTAAAGCCTGGCCCTCTATTAAAAAAAACAAAAAAAACAACAAAATGTCGGTATTGTATCTAACATTAGCCTACTTGGAAAACAACTTATTCCTAGATTGTATTTAATTTTTTTGGCATCATAAGCCTAACATTAAAACAAAACAACCAAAAACATTTGGGTGTTCCATCATATTTAGTACTGGTACTTATTTTTAAATATTGCATTTCTTTTAAGCATCTTATATGTAAATTTCATTAAGTTCAAAGGACATACAACCAAACTATATTTTCTTAACTCAATTTATTTCTTTAATGTAGGCTACATTCATTTATAGATGTCTTATATCAACTATTAAAAACAATAAAACTGTAAAACGATTATTTAAAAATACTCTTTTGTGTTATAGAGCCTAGCCTACTGAAATTGGTGTTTATTGCCTTTCTTTATTTTTTATGTTAAAAACGACATTGCTAACCATAATTAAGTTACTTGTTCTATGAATAACACTATTCAATGTCAAGAAATCGTCTTTTGTCATATAAATGCATAGGAAAAATTTTTATTAAAAAAATGTTGGTGCACAAAACAGTTTTCAGCAACTTATCCTGAAATCGTCTTTTTAATTTTTGAAAACTGTTAAGTGAAAATAACATGTAGGCCTAAACTTACTTGGCTATGAAACAAGTTGGCTATAGTATGGTAGGCTTGTTCGTACAAGGAATAAACAGATATATTCCTATTAATTGAACTATTAACTGTATTAAGTTAGGGAAAGTTAAATATGACCGTATTGTGAGCCTTGGTGATATAGTTACTTGGTTTTGTTCAGCATGCAAGAAAGACATTGAAGAAGGACATCCAGCTGTTCCTGTTTGTGAACTGAAGGATGGTCCCCCTGCTACGATAGAATTATTGTGTGATGGTCTAACAAAATTAGAAGAAAGTAATGATAAACTTTTTGATGTAATTATGGGTCTCGTCAGTGAAATCATGCCCAAGAAACAAAGCAGTGTTGATATTGAATCGGTTTGGTCTAGGCCTAATCGTGAGGAAAATTATCCCGGCAAAACCTTTTCTGATGCACTTAAATCGGCTGCAAACAAGGAAAAACTTAACATTGTGCCTAAAAAATGCACTTCTAATTTGCCTAGTGGTTCAATTGGCAAGATACAGGGTAGTAAACTTAGTAGGCCTAAACCTGTTACAGGCCTATATTCAGTTAAAGTACCGGCAAATCCTAGTCCTAGGCCTCAGTCTTCGGAGTCTTCATGTGATCATGCAGAGTGTAGGAGTAAGGATGAGGATGGTTTTTCGCGTGTGTGCTATCGCAAAAAGACTAGACAACCTAGGCCTAGATCAGTCAAAAGTAATAATCCTAGGGTGACTAAACTGATATCTGGTAAGAACAGTAGTAACAAACTCCTTGCAGTTCCTCGCTATCTTGGATCTATGTTACAAGAATTCAAGCTACTACAACTGAAATTGACATCAGTGACCATTTGAAAGCATCATGTGGTGATCTCAGTTTTGTCTGTGAAAAACTTCCTACGAGACACACATCTTACAATTCTTTTAAAATCGGTGTACAGCCCGAGTGTGTAGAGGACATCATGAACCCTGATATCTGGCCCACTGGTATATTAATCGGCAATTTTTTTCCGCCTCGTTCCTCTAGGCCTAGGTCGATAAGTAGCTCCACTGACGATAGGCCTACTCAGACTGTGAATTTTTTTAGTGGAATCAGTGCCAACCGACTCGAAGAAATAAACATGGATGGTACAAAAAATAAAGTAAGTAAAATGCCTTCAAATTTGAGTTTTTGTGTGCTTACTCTTATTTTCCTCAACATCCAAGGACTGATGGGTAAGTTAACTCTATTTGAGGACTTTACGATGCACCAGCGGTGTGATCTAGTATGTCTTTCTGAGCACTGGATTCCTCTGGCAGGTATAGACTTTTTTAACCTCAGCGGATATAACCTAGTCAGCAATTTCTCTAGATTAGAACATGGCACAGGTGGTACACTTATTTACGCTCGTTTGGAACTTGACTGTAGACCACTTGACCTGTCGTCTTTTTGTATTGAGAAAATAATTTAAGCATGTGGTGTCCTTGTTACCTCACATAGACTTATTATATTGAACCCCAGACAGTGATGAGTGGCTTTTCTTGAACGCTTTGGAAAAAATCCTGACGTCTGTGACGGAATGGTCCAACCATAGGATCGTCATTGGTGGAGATGTCAACGCACAGTTTGACGTGACAACTACCAAGAGGTCGGTGGCAACTCTTCTCAACCTTCTAAGGGAGTTTAACATCTACTTCCACAATGACCAGCCTAGCAGAGGAAATGCCTGCCTAGACAATGTTTTTTCTAACATCCCCAAAGATGATGTGTTTTGTTGTATTGAACCGTTCCATTTTTCAGATCATAATGCAATTCTTTTCAGGATAGTTAATGATAACATACATGAGCCTGATAAGATCAGCACCTTTGCCTTAAAAAGACACTTTTCTCTTCAAAACATCACAAATTTCAAATTCAAAATTATCTTGATCAATTGGCAGGATAAATTTGACCAATTTTGGACTTCAACTGAATACACAGGTAACAACATATTTTCTGTATTTTTTGAAATTTTTATGCATGTGTTTGACGAGTGTTTTCCTGTGTGCAAGTCACGCTCAAAACCAAACCCAAAAGGGAAATGGTCAAGTGCCTGGTACACTCCTGATCTTGACAGGCTCAGGCAGCAGGTAAGACATGCCTATGATCTGACCTGTGTAAGTAGTGACAATCTTTGTAAGTTAGAGTATAAGACCCTAGTTAAGAACTACAAACGGGCAGTAAAGGAGGCCAAGCTCAATTATAATGCCCTATTCATTGAAAACTCCAGCAACAAATGTAAATCAGCCTGGGCAATTGTAAAGCCTAAAATGTCTAAATAAATTGCCCAACAAATTGCTATCACTTCCTTACAAAGTTTTTAAAGCTAAAGTTCATATGTGGCTAGTAAAGAACCCGTTCTACAAACTTAACGATTTTTTAGAACTTCCTAAACCATTACATATTGAGTAATGATTGTACTTTTTTTCTATTATAGTTATCCTCATCTGCATTTTATATTCTCTTTGTATCTTTTGATTTGACCTTGTACTCTACATCTATTGTAGGCCTACTCTTCCTTGACAAATGTTTACCAACATAATACCTTCTTTGACCATTCCACATGCATTTGTAATGTCTATTGGAAAATAAAGCTTTTGATTCTTTGATTCTTCTTCTTTTGAATTTGGAATTCATCTTAATCCGATAGCATAGCCAAGGAATAGTCCTTGGCATGAGCTGTTAGCAGGAGCAAACTATACTATTTTTTCTGATGTAAAGTTTAATGTTAGGCTATATGGATATTTTTCATTACAATTATTATGTAGTGAGTGTAGGCATATATCTTAAACTTCATAAGGTAGGCCTAATTTCCTCTTTGTTTATTTAGTAAACCTTTGAAAAATCTTCGTATTCCAACCAAGGAAGGGCTTGTGATGCTGAACCACAATCAAGAGCTGAAGCAAAGGTTGATAACTCAACCTGGCTGAAGCCTTCTCATTATTTTAAGGTTTAGTGTTGGTTTCCATTAATACCCAAGTTGAAACTATCGATAAAGAAAGAAACTAAGTTAATTTGATCACTAATTTCCCTGTCAATCACTTGTAACCATTCAATAGCTTCTCTTGTGACCGGTAACGTTTAAACGTCGTTTGCATCCTCGATTTTATTTTATTTGACAGTAATCATAGAGTGGCAAATGAAGGAAATGAGAGCCAAAAATGTGGATAACACTCAGATAATGGCCTCCATGTCCACGCAACATTGTAAATAGGTAATGAAACGGCTGCGACCAGCTGTATGAAGCCAAGAAAGTAGTTAGGCCTAATTTTCTTGAAAATTTCAGTTTGAAAGAGGTTGTTTCACGTAAGGTTGTGATAAAAATCACTATCTCAATCAATGATAATGTAGCATGAAAAGTAGCTAAAATTCCGCTAAAATGTAGCTAGCTACAGCTAAAGCTACAAAAAAAGTAGCGTGCTACTGTAGCGTAAATACTTGTAGCACGCTACTTCCCAACACTGCCTATAGGCTACTTAGATTGGAATTGACAAAATTTCCGAGAAATATCCCCTATTCATGCCTGAGATCTACCTTTCCTCCTGGCAGATTACCCATAAATAACCCTTTTGCCCATCTAATTACCTTTTTCTCTTATGACCCCCTAAAATCAAATTCCCTCGGGTAGGCCTACCCTAAAGAGTTGGAGTTATTGTTTTGACTTAATCAGTACCGGTAATTAATGAAGGTCTCAGCGCAAAAAAATCATTTAAGAAGTTGTAGTACCTATGTCATACTATGATAAAATTGGATTTGTAGGATAAATGTAACTCATACTAGGCCTAGGGTCTAGGTCTACTTTTACCACAGGACTATACCTTTGGTCAGGGTCGGTTACCGTTACCTTATTATCGGTTCTTCATCTTTTACCCCATGGGGGATTGATGGCGTCATTAAATAACATGAAAACACTGTACTAATATATACATTATTTACAAATTTAAAAACATATTTTTAACACTGAGGCTGTGGACAGGCGTAAGTCAGCCCAGGCCTAACAGAGGGTCATCAAAATACTCCTTCAGCGAGTAGTAGGCTTTTCCTTCAAAGTATGCAGTGAGTACCTTAAGGAGTTCCCTTTTGTCGAGAAGTACGATGGAGTTTGGCAACTTATTATATATTGTTAGGGCTCCATTACTGAAGGCCTTCTGAGTCCTTGATAGTCTAACTCTAGGAACATCTAGTTGGTTGCGATTCCTAGTAAGGTGGTGATGTTTTGCAGCTCTGGAAGGAAACTCCTCAATATTATCTATTACGTACTTTATACAGGCGAGGATGTAGTGACCAAACACTGTTAGAATTCCCAGCCTGGTAAAGATAGGCTTGCAGTGAGCCAGACGATCGCTGAAGGTGATTATTCGTAGAGCTCTCTTTTGCTGGACCAGGATGTCTTCGGTCGCGGGTGCGTGTCCCCACAACAGCACACCATAGCTCACGTGGCAATGAAACATAGAGTGATAGACATTCATCAGGTATTTCTCCGTGACCAGATACCTAAGTTTCAGGAGCAGGCAGCATACCCTTGACAGCTTATTGCAGACCTGATTTACGTGGTCATTCCAGGTTAGCGTCTGGTCCAGGGTAAAACCTAGCAGCTTCACCGGATCATTGTGAGGAGCATGTTTAGCCAGACTGCAGACAAGAGATTGTGTCTTGGATTGGTTAAGCTGGAAGCCATTGGCCTCAAACCAGTTTGAAGCTTCAATTAAGTGCTGTTCAGCTCCCGCTACAGACTGTTCAACCTGCAGTCCTCGTGACACAAGGGTGGTGTCGTCAGCAAATAATACAACATTTCCTGACTTGTCGAGGTCGTTTATCATAACTAGGAAAAGAATCAGCCCAATTACCGATCCTTGTGGAACTCCATATGCTACTTCTAGAGGTGCTGAAGTTGCCCCCTCGATAGAGACCACCTGTTGCCTACCCGCGAGATATGATCCAATTGTTCCGAGAACAGTGCCACCCACTCCATAACTCTCCAACTTCCTGACCAGTATGGCATGGTCGACGCAGTCAAATGCACGACTTAGGTCGCACAATGTGAGGGTGACTGTGTGGCAAGCCTCAAATGCCTCACCAACCAAACCTGCAAGCCTCATGACCGCTCCTGTTGTAGACCGGCCTTTACGGAATCCGAATTGACCTTCCGTCAGTAGGTTGTTTGACTCTAGGTGTTCACAAAGCTGCCTGGTCATTAGAGCCTCTAAGGTAACTTAAGGTTAAAATAACATTTAGCCTACCAATCTATGGATAAAAACTAGGCATCCCTAAATATTATTACAGCTGACATAAACCTAGGCCTAGGCTAAAACTTTTTTTCATTTGATAAAGGTTAAGGTCATAGCCATTCATTTAATTTCCCTATTGAGTCATAAAAGTATAATAGATGACTATATACATTTTACTTGTATAATCATTTGCACCTTTGTACAGGTAGGCCTACAACATAATATTTACATTTTTGTGTTGTGATACAATTTAGTCCTGGGGCTCTAGCCAATAATAATATTGAATTAAATCTGTTAAACTAGGCCTAGATGCCAACATTTAATTATAAGATAAAAATTAAACTTACTGCTTCAGTGAAAATATTCACAAATATTTAAGACTTAAAACCCGTTTGAACTTAAAAATGTCACATTTTATATTTTATTTTAAAAAGGTTATTTACGACCATTTTCTTTACGCCGAAGCCGAGCCGAGCCAAGCCGAGGTATCGGCAATTTTTTTTGCCTGCTAGCTTTCCTTTGCTATTGCTCTTTGCTTGCTTTTTGAAGTTTGTTGAAAGAAGAAGAATTGTCGAACGCGAAAAGACACGGCCGCCTTTACCATTAAAGGTGGCCGTGGAAAAGACCCTTCGGTCTACCACAAAGCCTCATAATGTATGAAATAAAGAATCTTGACTAACTATAATAACTAAGGGCATAGATTAAGTATATAATATTATATGTTAAGGCTATGCTTAGGGTTGCTGCATGCGTTGTTATCCCGTAGCATCCCCAAATATTTTGTCGGCACTACGGGGTGTTGACGTTTTTGTATGTCGACGATTTGGGACGTCAACCAAAAACCGTTGACGTTGTGGGATGTTGATCGTAGTGGAAATTATCAGTTAGTTATTCAGTTACTACCCTATGGCCAAACCTATGTTGGAGCCTGAATCTCCACTGCCACTGGAGAATGTCCCCCCAAAACAAAAGTCCGATCCATGAGTAACAAAAAAGATTTGATGAGTATGCAGAGAAAACTGTTGTTAGGTGTGATCAAGGGCTACAGCACGATATACCACGAAGCTGTCCGCATCACGATCACATGGCATGAATTCTGATTCACATGGCAAAAGAAAGTCATTCGTTGTATCATGTTGTATGGTAGGCTTAGAAAACAATCAAGAACATTGTACAGATGGTTTTATTAGTCTTAAAATAATGACGTTAGGTACCATGTATGTGTATTTTTGGCAATCTGGTTTATGTTAAGGAAAATTTCGTTTATTTTAGTGAACAATGTAATCAACATACAGCACGAGAAACAAACATAATCTTGTAACACCTTACATCCGCCTACCTACACAAATCATTTAGAAGTCACAGTGTTTACCAGCAATTTCTGTTATTTAATAAGTTACCATTAGTTGTAAGAAATCTACCCCTTGTAGAATTCAAAAGAAACTATCTCAAAACTGGCCAAAACAAAAAAGCATTTTATAGCATTGAAGAATACCTTAAATGTACATTTCAGACTTAGACTAGAAACTTGAGATTTTTTGTTCTAAAACTATTTGACGAAGCCTATTGTACGCTAATGTATTCTTGTACATTGTATTTAATAGCCAATAAACTTCTTGATTCTTGATCCTCCCCGAGTTTGTGTAAACAAGTTGAAAGTGAAATTAATAAAATTGTAGCTGTAAATATACGGTAACATTTTTTTTTATGCTGTGATAGCCTCTGTATACCACTCACCTAGTTTCAATTTTAAAATTCACTTGTTTATTTAAATAAACTAACTTTTTAATAATGATATATTTCCAAAAATCTTGAGCTGTCTGACCTCTCTCGCAAAAAGTAAAAAATGTAAAGTTTATGTTGTGGTGGCTACAACATAAACCTTTTAGAAGGCAACCATAAAGCAGAGACTTAAATTGGACTACAGTACTTAAATCCCTTTGCCTTTACATAACTTGCCTTGAACTATCAAGGGGACTTCCTCTTTGGATAACATAGCCATACCAACTTCGCTGTTGACGAGAGGGGGAGAGAGAGAGAGGTGTTTGACTGTGCCCAACCAACACCTCTCCCCTCACCTAGTACCCTCTGTACTAGGATCATCGGATTTTAGTGTTTTCCAATCTTCTTAATTTTTTATCTTTCCTAACATTTTTCCCATTTCAAATTCCAGCCTGTCTTCCTGTATTTTCAAATTCATGCGTTTTCTTTCCTATCCGTCATCACATTCTGGCAAACTCCAGCGCAGATTCTTTAGTTCTCAAGTTGATCTCCTAAGCCCATGTCTTTTGTAGGAGGAGAGTGAAATTTAAAAACGTACGTTTTCAGGAAAATCACTTTTAAAATTTGTTGTTCCGTTTTTTGAAACTTTTTTTATTTTTTGTATTTCATTGACATTTGAAGTTTTATAAAATGTCCATGGTATCGCAATATCTTTGGTGATTTTTTATAAATAGAGCATCATTGATGGAAAAACACAAAACTTTGTCACGACCATCACGGACATAAAACTGAATATTAAAAATAGTTAATATTATTTTTATAACTATGTTTTGCTATAAATTAATTTACTTTTATGGCCATTATACAATAAACAGCTCACTAAGCTTTTGGTATATTTGGTCTTTCTAGATAATCTTTCTTGGTCTATTTGTACTTATTCTAAATAAATTTGTTTTAATTTATGAACAAGTCACTTATTTTTCAATTTGATAGAACTTTTAAGAAACTTGTATCCATATGGATACTATGGGTCGAGTGTCAAGGTAAAATTAAAATTAATAACGTATGAAAATTAGCGAACAATGGTACTTTAGGTTTCCATGGAATCCGTATGGATACATATTTCTAACTTTTAATTATATGAGGGAAATCTGAAAAAAACCATTTTTAGCCCTTAAAAAAATAAAAATAAAATTCACAATAAAATTTTTTGTTTTTAAATTTCATAATTCCGGGTTGTTCGTGGCCACTTAAATTACGCGGAAGTCACGACACCGCACAGGATACTGATTTCTTGATGGTGCATGATTCGTGAGTTAATAAAACGCAAATAAAAATATTACTTGTAAGTACCCCAACAAGACCAAGAGAATCATTTGTAGCCGGGCTTACATTCTTTTCGTAAATCAAGATCAGAGAATTCTTTTGAGGTTTGCGTCAAGCAATATGCTAAATGGGTTTGGATCCTGGTACCTGCCGTGCCACTACTTTTTATTAGTACAGTTCACCCTTGTACTGTACCTGCTCTCCCCTTGCATTGCTTGGTACGTTCAACGCACAGGCCTCTGTGGCCCATGTGGACGAGCAAATATAAGGTAAAAGAAGCTGCCAACCTCAAAAAAAAAAAAAAACTTAATATGGACAAACCCAAAGTAATATTTAGTTAACATACTTTAACTACATTGTTCGTCGAGACAATATAAGGTACTTTACATGTTATGTTTGAGTTAATTCATATCACACAAGTGTGGTTTTTTTCCTGTCTTACATCAATCGATCCATGCATGTTTGAGGGCATTGCAAGATTTAAAACTTCTTGTAAAGCGTCAATGGGTAAGTCAACATCAGCCAATTAATTCATTTATAAAAATTAACTTGTAAATTTTTAGGGTAAAATAATATACAGGGTGGTAATAAAGACCGAAGACAGTTAAATATTTTAAAAAATAATGTAGATAGAGCTTTAATACTTGGTACAAAGTTACAAGGCATAAAACTCTATTTTAACACACATTCAGTGATCCAATAACCCGGCCCATAAGGAGTCTGAAGAAAATCTTAAATGGAAGCATAGGTCAATATGCACATCAAATGAAAGGTCTTTTTTAGTAGAATACAATGCCGCAAACTGCACTTCAAAAGGACCCTTAAGATTACCTACTGACTCATCATCGGCATACCCTGTTAGATGATGAAAGTCAGCAATAAAATTAAAAAATTAGTTTATAACATAGGGTGGCAATTAAGTCCGAAGACAGTAAAATATAAAAAAAAAAAATGTAGATAGAGCTACAATACTTGGTACAAAGTTAAAGGGCATAAAACTCTCAACACTATTCAGTGATCCAATAACTCTTTAGGGGGACGGCCCACAAGGAGTCGAAAAAAAATCTTAAATGGAAGCATAGGACCATCCGTAAAAAAATAACAGCTGTTCAAAGATTTAAAATAGTGTTTTAATTTAGAAATTGGCTAATTTTGAAAATCTTTGAACATCTGCCATTTGAAGTGCGGTTTGCGGCATTGTATTCTACTAAAAAAGACCTTTCTTGATGTGCATATTGATATATGCTTCCATTTAAGATTTTCTTCCGACTCCTCGTGGGCCGTCCCCCTGAAGAGTTTTTGGATGACTGAATATGTGTTAAAATAGAGTTTTATGCCTTGTAACTTTGTACCAAGTGGTAGCTCTATCTTCAATATTTTTTTTTAAATATTTAACTGTCTTCGGACTTATTACCACCCTGTACGAATAATGTATGTGAAAATAATTTAAATGACAGTAAGTCTAATATCATTGTGTAGAGTTTCCTTTTTACGTAGTGGAGCTCAGACTTCTGCTTACTCTTACTCTAATCCAATGTACACCTTAAACCGGACTAAGTGTTCTGGGGATCCCATGGCTTATGCCCTGGTGTGGTGGTGGTACCGGTGAGTAAGTCACCGCCACCGGTACACATTGTTTCCAAATTGACAGGCGTAAATTGTCGTATAAGCAGTCCAAAATTATCGTATTTGGAGCAAAATTATCGTACACACAATTTTCTAAATATTATGATATAAACAAGCAAGTCGATGATGAAATTACTGAAATATAACTCTATTTGTCTCTGCCACCCACCGCTTTTTGCTCTACCAGACTACCACTGAGCTAGAAAATATAAATTCTACCAGAGCCAGCACTATCACAAACACGGAATCTGCATCTCTGCTAGAAAAAAAGTCAAACCGCTGTAAAATTTTGTTATTTTGGTTCTCAACTATAAAAATAAACCAGCTCAATGCTTTATTTCATTCCCCTACTGCCAATGTACTGAGTATTGAAGGTACAAAGTACTCTACCACCCCTAGTACAAATGGCGGCCAACTTCTCTCAAAATTCTCTTATAATCACTTAAGTTGGTAGCCAATGGGCCCTTCCAACCTTGTTTTGGCAAAATCTTTGAGATTATTTTTCTTAAACGATTGCTAAGTTTTATTGAAACAAATAACATCTTGTCAAATAGCCAATTTGGGTTCAGAAAAAAACATGTCTACCTGTGATGCCATTTTCACACTTTTAAAATAAGTATATAACCACCTTGGCACATCTGACAGATGTCTCTTTTAAGACATGACAAAGGCTTTTGACCTTCTTGACCACGGGATCCTTCTGGATAAGTTGTGAGTATTTGACATTTCTGGAAACCCACTGCGTTGGATTTCATCGTATCTTAAAGATCGGCACATGATTGTATCCTTGAAGCACAGAGGCCCTGACAACATCCTCCGGACATATAAATCATCTTCATCACCAGCTCTGAACATCGGTGTCCCCAGGGATCAAACCTTGGGCCCATCTTATTCCTGTTATATGTAAATGACTTGCCTGATTGGCTCCGTATCTTCTGGAAATTTATGGCTTTTTGCTGATGAAGTCTGTCACCTAGACCCAAGTCCAAATCGAAACATCACAAAATTGAAAACATCCAAACTGGCTTGCTTGAAATGTCAACTTGGTGTAGCAAAAATCATCTCGTCCTAAATTCTAGTAAAACCAAATAAAGGGAATTTTGTAACAGGAAGAAGCCTGAGCCACCTCCGGTATTGACCTTGGACAGGGTGCCACTTGAGACCTGTAGTGAAACCAAATAATTGGGCCAACACATTATACGGAGAACCTTAATTGGGGAACACATGTTGATGCAATAGCGCCCAGACTGTCATCTGTCACCTACCTGCTGTTGACTACAAAAACTGGTTGACATTGAGATTCTCCTTATTTTTTACTATGGCTGCTTTCATAGCATAATTTCATACGGTTTGGTATTTTGGGGTGGTTGTAGTGAGGCAAAACGCATCTTCATCCTTCAAAAACGTGCAATTAGGAGAATATGTGGAGTCCATAGACGGACAAACTGTAAACCTCTGTTCTAAGAACTGAACATTCTCACACTGCTTCCGTCTCTCTTTATATTGGAATCCGCATTGCTCGTTAAGAAGAATCCCAATATTTTTGTAACTAACAGCATGGTCCACAATTACAATACAAGAAGAGCAACAAATCCACATGTACCTCAAGTAAATTCCAACCTTGCAAGCAAGAGCCCTTACTTCAATAGTATAAACATTTACAATAAATTGCCTCAGTACATCATGCAAGAGCATTCTATCAACAATTTCAAGAACCTGTTAAAAACATATTTCAGTCAAGCGGCCTACTACAGTCTTGATGAAATATATGTCTAGACTATGTGCATCCCTGAAGAGGAAATGAATCTATACATATATTAATAGCAAGGAAAGTATAAAAGCTGACGACCAAGTCGCTGATGCGATACCAATGGGAATACTCCAAGTATCCAAGTAAGTCCCTCTCTAACACAACTGATGCCTTTGCAAGGTTGCCAGATTGGATAGCAAGTGATGTTACCGTTTTTCCATATACTACAAGTGGGAAACGTGCTTAAATGTATATTTATCAATATGAAATTGTTTATTTTCTTGCCACCAAAAAATAATCGTATTTTATGACAAAAAAACGTACACAACGTCAAAAGTATCGTACAATTTTGCAAAATAATTTTTTATGGGGAAGGAGCAAAAGTATCGTACACCTGGCAACACTGCCGGTACATGTTCCCAGAACGTGCTCAACCCAGTAAAATTACGACCCAGTTAAACAAAGGTCTTAGGGGAAATGAAGTATTAGGTTTTGGAAGTCTTACATTATCAGCATATTATTAGTGATGTGCTTAGGGGTATGATTGCCAACAGCACCAACATTTCCACCTACGGCCTCTTTCATGCACGACGTTTTCGGTTACCAACTTTATTCATTTTGGCCATCATCAGTGACACAAGAAGGACCCTTGTTTATCGGTTTTGACATATTCGTGTGAAGAAAAATAGACGACAAGGAAGAAGGTGGGCTATGTAAGGAGGTGAATCAGAGTGCTAGGACGGATGGATGGAGCTTTCGCAAAGGTACCTATATGGTGTGCTGCGAAATGATTTTATTATTTCGAGGTTTTAAACAAAAATGTTAACTTAATTATGCTCACCATGTAAGTTTTTTTGCAATTACATCACTTCTTTAATCCTTCGATCTATTACACTGATCATCTATTTACAATGATTAGGGGATTTCAATACTGTGGATGACAGAGAGCGAGTTAGTTTGGTGGTGCTGCATTCCGCCCGACAGAAAATGTCGGAGCATAAAATAGTTCCATTTGATCTTATGTAAAAAATACGTCCCGGTGGAACGCCGAAACTCGGCGGAGATTCCGTTGTGCATAAAAGGGTCCCATTTGATCTCGTGTAAAAAAACTCCCCGATGAATCCCGTCCGACGGAAAAACATTGTGCATAAAAGAGGCCTAAAGTTCTAAAAAAATCAAAGTATAACCTTAAATAGTATAGATAATGGTAATATATTTAATTTGAAAAATAGCTGTAACGATAATTCTGTTTTAATTTTTTCCTTGCATATTATCCGAGTGTAAGTTTACTGAAGAGTTGTTAAATGTTTAATATTACGCACGATTAAGCCCCTAAAAAATAATGCCATAAGTAAACTTTGTATGGACAAAAGTGTGGTAAATTTGGATCAACACTATATCAGAGCGAGGCATAAAAACACAGTTTCATAACTAAGCAGTAAAAAAAAATTAAACACAGTTTTATTTTATTTTCTCTGTAACAATTAAGTGTGTACAACAATTCTCATCACACAAAATCATTTGTTTTTATAAGCTCCATAAAATAGTTTGGGAAGAAATTGAAAAACTTTATATTTTGTGTGTCAAAAACAGAAAAAACCCAATTTGACCAAATTGACCCCATAAATCACAATTTTTATAGTCTGACCATTCTGATTTGTGAACTCGTTTGAATAAATGTAGGTTTAAACATTTGTAATTGATTGATTAATTAATCAATTACCGCTGTGACGCCAATGACCAGATGATTTGGACTGGTTGTGTCAATTGTATATGTAGACTATCTTGGATGGTGGATGACTTCTCTCCAAGGTTTCTTCATAAACTTATCCTCACCAAATAGGGGGTTTGCCAAGAGTCTCTCTCTTACTAATCTCTTAAACTGGGCATTTTCTCACTGCCAGAACTGGGAAGCTGTTCAATGGTAATTGATTTAGATAGTCTGCATCCAGATCAGTCGCTCCTCTAGTGTTTGCACCACTCTGTATAAAATCACCAAATATAAAAGCAGAGTGGGAACGCCCTAAATACCATGCGTTACCCCACTACACCATTAGTTACGTTCTCATTTTCGTTGAAAAAGTTAAGTTAAAAATTTACATATTTTACAGAAATTGACAACTGCACACACTATATGTCGGTGGTTCAATTCGAGTCCATGCATTTATTATGCAACTGGCCACTTTAACATGTCTACTTCCCCAGTTGTGGTCCCAGGGGGGATGGAAGGGAAATACCCCCCCCCCCCGAAATATTTTATATTTTATTAGCTTACCTACATAAATACTATTAGCTTGAGCATATTTTAAAGATCAAATATGTATACAAATATTTTTTTTTTTGCTTTAAATTCCACTTTTTCCTTGGGAGGGATAGCCCGAACCTCCCTTTTATGGGGGATATTCCATACCCCCCCCATGGTCATCCCCCCCTGAAATAAAATCCTGGGTACCTGGGACCCCAATGACTTCCCTTAACAGTCAGAGGTAATAAATAACCATTGGACTATGGCTTCAAATTCAAATGGTAAACAAAGTGTCAGGCGGTAACCTTGAGGTGGCATCGCTATCTCTCGGTTTAACAAACAGCTGTTCACTGCCACTGCTACCAGAGCTACCACCATCACGGCACAACACCACTCCATTGTCAGTGGTGCCACCAAACTAACGCATACACCGCCAAAGGCCGCGCCACCGCCGCCGCCGCCCGCCAGTCATCCTTGTTCGCTCGAACCGTTAACGTGTCCGCCTTTGCCGTTCATCAGTTCGTACATCACACGTTGAATGTGTTATTGTGTCTTACCCTGATTTTTTGAGGACTTAGCCATGTTTTAGTAGTGATTTACTAAGACTTCGTAGCTTTCCGTTGGCAGACGAGTTCCAGCCTTTTTGGATTTTACAAGCCTAAAAGGTAGGGAAATAAAAGTTTGTATTAGGTTATTTAACGATTTTGTTTTAATAGTTTATAGCCTATATTTTAACAGTTATAATACCTCGTAGTTACATAGGACATAACTAAGCATCATTATTGTGTTCAAATGACTAATAGGTCTACACTAATACGAGTTAAACTCTTATCAATTTCGGCAAAACGTTCCTTTGTGATAACAACTTAAAGGGAATAAACTACAGCCTATATGGTTCTTTCAAGAAATCGTGCCTTTATCGTAAATTGTTTTAAAATATTTACGAATTTAAATTTTGACTAATTCGAGAGTTATACACTACAGAATTGGAAATTAATTCACATAAAATTCCTATCATACTTATATTTTTTTATCGTATGCCAATTAAAAGCTACGTCTAGCATCTTATAATACAATATCAGTTACATATTTCAAGAGTTAATATTACAACTGTGATCATTAGGTCTTCATCCAATAGGTTGCCGAAAGATAGTTGGACCGTGTAACGGATTAAAAATAGCAGATAAACATAGCTTGAATGTTTCTTCATTCTTACCGGGTTGCCTGAAACAAAACCGGTTATGGGCTGGGGCCATTTGCCGCCGGTCAAATCGCAACATTCGCAACCACCAGGCCTTTGAACCCCAGCAACAGGTGGAATCCCCCTCCCCTCTCCACCTCCCCCGGCACAAACATGGGATCACTCCACTCTGATCTTCTGATGACAGGAGAATGTTGCCTGTCAGTCTACAAAAGGCAAACCCGTTTCACATATTAACTCACGTTAGATCAATCAACAGTTAAAATACGGTGAAAGGAAATTTAAAAGTATTTTCAAGAAGAGAGCGTCTACTTTATTACAATGCGATGTTACGTTTTGTAAGTAGTTTATGGAAATGATAAACAAGAAAGCCTTAATAAAATCAAAACGTCTCTTTTTGTTTAGCACGTTAAAGATAGATACCAATTTATAAAGACGTCGATTTGTTATTGGTCTTCTTTTTGCATGTGTTTAGAAAAAGGTAATTTTTATTTTCCCTTATTTAAAATGATCATTAATTAAACTAACCTAACCAAACCAAACCATTGCAGCGAACTCAAAAAGAGTGGTTGCCCTCTTCTTGAAAATACCCGTTTTTACACTTTACTTCAGACAAGAGCTATAGTAGGTCGTGGTATTATCCTAAAAAAGGCATTGTCGATTAACTGAATTTGAACGCAGGAACTTGAGGACTGAAGCCCAACGGTCTACCACTAGACAATATTCTCTTCCGTGGTCTGATATTATTATAGTGCAATTCATACTGAAATTGAAATCTATGAAGATTCTGATAATATCTTAATTTGATATTGCTAACTGTGAGATATCCGATACAGTGTATCTTGATATGACGTTGTTAAATGAGCGATATATCCGATAAAGTGTATCTTAACCTGACGTTGATAGATGACTGTGATAGATATACGATCCGATCTTGCGTCGTTAACTGAGAGAGATATCCGATACAGTGTATCTCGATATGGTGTTGTTAACTGAGTAAGATCTCCGCTAAGGTTTATCTCGATCTGACGTTGTTAATTGAGAGAGATATCCAATACAGTGCATCTCTATTTGACGATGTAACTAAGAGAGGTATACGATACAGTGTACCTCGATATGACTTTGTTAAATAACAAAGATATCCGATACAGTGTATCTCGATCTGGCGTTGTTAACTGTGAGAGATATCCGATACAGTGTACCTCGGTCTAAAGTTGTTAACTAGAGATGTCCGATACAGTGTATCTCGATCTGACGTGTTAAATGTGAGAGATATCCGATACAGTGTACCTCGATCTAAAGTTATTAACTAGAGATGTCCGATACAGTGTACCTCGATCTGACGATGTTAAATGTGAGAGATATCCGATACAGTGTACCTCGATCTAAAGTTGTTAACTAGAGATATCCGATACAGTGTACCTCGATCTGACGATGTTAAATGTGAGAGATATCCCGATACAGTGTACCTCGATCTAAAGTTGTTAACTAGAGATGTCCGATACAGTGTATCTCGATCTGACGTTGTTAAATGTGAGAGATATCCGATACAGTGTACCTCGATCTAAAGTTGTTAACTAGAGATGTCCGATACAGTGTACCTCGATCTGACGATGTTAAATGTGAGAGATATCCGATACAGTGTACCTCGATCTGGCGTTGTTAACTAGAGATGTCCGATACAGTGTACCTCGACCTGACGTTGTTAACTAGAGATGTCCGATACAGTGTACCTCGATCTGACGTTGTTAACTAGATATATCCGATACAGTGTACCTCGATCTGACGATGTTAAATGTGAGAGATATCCGATACAGTGTACCTCGATCTAAAGTTGTTAACTAGAGATATCCGATACAGTGTACCTCGATCTAAAGTCGTTAACTAGAGATGTCCGATACAGTGTATCTCGATCTGACGTTGTTAAATATGAGAGATATCCGATACAGTGTATCTCGATCTGACGTGTTAAATGTGAGAGATATCCGATACAGTGTACCTCGATCTGACGTTGTTAACTAGAGATGTCCGATACAGTGTACCTCGACCTGACGTTGTTAACTAGATATACCCGATACAGTGTACCTCGATCTGACGTTGTTAACTAGAGATGTCCGATACAGTGTATCTCGATCTGACGTTGTTAAATGTGAGAGATATCCGATACAGTGTACCTCGATCTGACGTTGTTAAATGTGAGAGATATCCGATACAGTGTATCTCGATCTGACGTTGTTAAATGTGAGAGATATCCGATACAGTGTATCTTGATCTGACGTTGTTAAATGTGAGAGATATCCGATACAGTGTACCTCGATCTGACGTTGTTAAATGTGAGAGATATCCGATACAGTGTACAGCTTGATCTGACGTTGTTAAATGTGAGAGATATCCGATACAGTGTACCTCGATCTAAAGTTGTTAACTAGAGATGTCCAATACAGTGTACAGCTCGATCTGACGTTGTTAAATGTGAGAGATATCCGATACAGTGTACAGCTCGATCTGACGTTGTTAAATGTGAGAGATATCCGATACAGTGTACCTCGATCTAAAGTTGTTAACTAGAGATGTCCAATACAGTGTACAGCTCGATCTGACGTTGTTAAATGTGAGAGATATCCGATACAGTGTACCTCGATCTAAAGTTGTTAACTAGAGATGTCCGATACAGTGTATCTCGATGTGACGTTGTTAACTGTGATAGATATTCGATACAGTGTATTTCGATCTGATGTTGTTAAGTGAGCGAGATATCCGGTACATTGTCCATCTCGATCTGAATTTGTTAACTGAAGTTTTATTTTAAAACATGTCAGAAACTGTGGTTTAGCCAGAGAGACTCTTGACAATAAAATGTGTTTGTTGGCAACAAACGTAGGTGTTATTCTTGTGCACTAATCATTGTAAGTATTATCACACCATTTTAAAGTTAAAGACCCATTTTTTACCCATTTTTTATAAGCGTTTCCATAAGGTTATCATTTCATCTTAACCATCGGTAAGAAATTGAGTGATATTGTTGTATACAGTACTGTCAGAGTTAGTAACTTAAGCCATGCTGTTTTTACGAAAATAAACAGCTGTTTGCAAATAGAAGGTAGACTATTTACTAACAACTTGATTCCTTGAATAAAAGTTTTGTTCGAGACGTTATAGCATCATGCCAATATAATACTGTAATATTGTATACGGCATTATTGGAGTTGCTGCTTATTTCTAGAACTGTGTGTAGTTTTTAATCATAGATTTTAAATGAATAAGGCTTAAGTTAGTGTGAAGTAGCAACGAGTCCCGTATCCAATGTGAACGATAAATGTTAATTATTTTATAATATTAATATAATGATTAAACTTACTGAATTACGAGAATTAGTCTCCTATAGTGATCGAAACCGATTTCCTTGGACACTTTTGAAGTTGCGGATATTATAAACGTTGTTTCGGAAAAGGTTTACATCGAATCATTTATTCTAACTTAAAATCTTTCAAAATTAAAACACATAAAGTTCGACCCATATTATTTGTTTAAGAAAATGTTTATCAACTGTTGCATCTGAAATGGCTATGTTTAGGAAAATCGCGCAACACAGAGTTTTACATGGGGAAGGCAAAATCCGCGTATTTTACCCCTATACAGGCGATATTACAAAAATATGTTGTCTATACAGCCAGCTTCATGGGCCAGGTGTCTGTTATATTTTGGATTTGTTAACAGCTGGTATTCGTCGATAGAAAGTAAATCGAGCTCGCAAACAAATAATCAACACAAGCCCGCGTGTTTCTAGTGGTAAAATATTAACAGCTTCTATCTGTTTAGCCAGTAAAAGTTGATTTTATGCTAAGCAGAATGTGTGTTGGATTAAAATGGAACACACTCATAAGCATGATGATTAAAATACATTTCGTTATTATTTTATGCACCCTATATATTTTCTTTACAGTAATCGTTGTATGGCAAACTGTTTTAGAAGTAGTATGAAACAGCTGTCAACTATTCCTCTAATTTCGATAGTCAAATAGATAAATAAAAGATTAAACAAAAATCGAAAGAGATTGATAATATTTTAAGTAGTTTTCAAATGTTCTTTTGATTCAACAGTAGAACACGTGATCCCTGTGTTCAACACTAACTTCTGCGCACGTACCAACTATTCGATACTAAATAAAAAAGTCATATGACATCATCTAACATATTATTCATATGTTACATAGTCTATGTGGAATGTCAATGTTACATCTTCGTCAAATAAACAATGTTTTATAGGTTGTATGAATGTAAATGATAACGCGTGCTAAGTAGTCCATGTGCCATGACTGACAAATACTATTACAGTAGAACCTCGATAACAAGAACCTCGATAACAAGTCAACCTTGATAACAAAGGGTCATTTAAAACTCCCCTTGAAATTATTTTACCCCTAATCACATGTTATTGAAAACCTCGATAAGGAGTCAACCCTG